GAGTTAGCACCTAAGCTATCAACCCTACCGAACCCTACCCTAAATAAGTGCCTGATTTGAGAGCTTTTAGTAGGCTTCCGGTATTGTCCAGATTTTTGAAAAATGTATATTCAATCAAATGATAAGATTTCTTACTGATAATTAACTATTTTCCGATTGCCAATCTGGAGTCCGTTCGGGACATGGTACAACAACAGCTTTAACCAAGGTATTAGATGATATATTCAGAGTAACTGAAGAAGGCAACGCACGTTACTGGTTACGCTAGATTATGGTAAAACATAATCTATCATAAGCTAAAACTACATTATTTCGATTTTTCCACTGAAACAATAAGATTAATTGAGAGCTCCCTCTTAAACCGATGTTAATATGTTATCATAGAAGACACCAGTTGTAGCTCAATGCCACTACCTCGAGGAGTTCCTCAGGGCGCAATATTAGGTCCGTTTCCTTTTTTGCTTTATACAATGGACTTGAAAGATTTTTCTTCACATTGTTCTATACCCCGATTCGCAGATGACACCCAAGTATATGCAAGCTTAAATGATGATAATGCTAATATAGTTGTTTCAAAAATAAATGATACTTAATATTCGTGTATTCAAATAAACATGGTTTGAAATTAAATCCTACCGAATCAGAGATGATTTGTTTCGTTAAAAGAGTACATACAATGGATGAGGTGGTGATTAATAATGTTAGTATTGAGGCTAGTAAAACAATAAAAAAAATTGGGACAATTCATTGATGATGACCCAAGTTTTGAACATATATTAAACATGTAATTCAGAAATGCTACATGTCTTTGAGGAATTTGTATCGTAATAGGACAATTTTGAACAAAGATTTGAGGACACAGTTATATGAATCTCTAGTTTTAATCCACTCAAACTACGGTGATATGATTTATAGACCTTGTCTAGACGTCTTTGAGGAATTTGTATCGTAATAGGACAATTTTGAACAAAGATTTGAGGAAACAGTTAGGTGAATCTCTAGTTTTAAGCCACTCAAACTACGGTGATATGATTTATTGACCTTGTCTAGACGTTCAAACATCAGTTAGAATTCAAAGAATCCAAAATGCTTGTATTCGCTTCGTTTATTCATTGAGCATCCGTGACCTCGTAACTATTATATTAGCTGAAATAGGGTGGCTTAACATGGAGAATAGAAGAAAACTACATCTAGCATGTATGGTTCATAAAGTCTTTGCGAAAAGAAGTGCTTCAAATGTTGTGTAAAGCAGAAATAGGCATCTTCTTGTGATAACCAGGCATTCATCAACTGCGTTTAGGAGATCATTTTCTCATTCTGCAATGAATATTTTCAACGCTATTCCAATTACTATTGAAAATAAATCGATTTATGCTTTTAAAAAACCTTATAGGGAATATCTATTGGGTCTTTAATTCTTACTCCTTGTGCTAATATCATTTCTTTATATCAATGTTTCTGTTATGTGTATTATCCTGTGATGTGAACACTATACATAATTCATTCTAATACTCTGATTAGATTGTTTTATGTATTGTTAAGAGTGGGCAATAGGACTGGAAAAATGATGAATACAGCGCTCTCGCTCCTGACGCTTTATGGGAAAACAGTTTGGCATATAGTACATTTTTAAACGCCATCATATAGACAAAGGTTCAAATTAGGGCGGATACTATCTCATTTTTCAAAATTCGAAAAAAAAAAGTTTCAAAAATGTATTTGAATATAGCATTATTAGCTGACGAAAAAAAAATATTTATACTGCTTGTTCAAGATTTTCAGATAGTATCCGCCCTAGAATGAACCTTCAATATGCTACAGAAAAAAAATCAAATCATAATGTGGCTTGGTTTCTTCACAAAGCGTCAGGAGCCAATCCTCTGCAACCTCAAAAATAGGCATAAGTTCACGATGATATTTGCGCCCTCTGGTGAAAGTTATATCAGAAGAACATGGCAGTCGATATAGCCTTAGTTCGGGTGATTTGATGAAATATAGAAATAATGAAATTTAAAAATAACCTATATAAATTCATGAAATTTCAAAAATAAACTAGTAGGTATTGATTACTTTGAGACAAAAATAATTTATTCTTCATACATTTTGAGAAGTATCATTTTATAGTTCGTTCGTCAATCAAGTGAAATCTATTGAATAATCTGATGCGTAATTTCACGCGAGTTCATTGCCTCAAGTGCCCATAATTTCGCTAAACGCAAAAAAATCGTCTACAATAATAGAATACGTATAGGTGGTTCCCCGAACGGGTTGTTTTTTACACGGCGTAACATCCTGAGATGCAGGGTGATGCAGGATGCAGGTTTACGTTTATGGTCAATGGAATAGAGAGCTTGAGCTTCTGAAATTTGTAGGTTTTACAATTTTGTATTTAGTGCGAGTGTAATATAATAGTGGTAGGTCATTAATGATTGATGACATTATAAAAATGTTCAACATCCTTTGAATGTTTACGATTCCAGGTAAAATGAATCAATGTTGAATATTTTCGTCATGTCAGTAGTTTGATCCGCTTTATGCAGAAACGTTGAACTTTGTATTTGGTGTGGAAATGTTTTTGTGTTTGTGACTATAAGTATTGAAAATGCCGCCTATAAAACCCAGGGCAGGTGATTATCGTAAGGGAGAAAAAACAAAATCACGTGTCGACAAAAAGACGTAGCCGGACGTAGGATATCAAGGGGGAAGAAAAATATCAGTATCGGTCGAATGTTATGTTCATTCTCTTCACCCAGACACCCCTTTGGAATTCCAAATGGCACCCCCTACTTCGAGATATATAAAATTCAAAGTCTAGCAATAATAACCAACCAGATGGAAAACTATCTTAGTATTCGATCCATAAATATCGGGACATAATCATTAAATTAAGTTATATTAGGTCAGTTATTACAGCCAAACATTTTGTCAATTTTCATTGAAGTTATCCTCAGATCAATTTTTGTGGAGTCACATGTGGAAACAATGGTTAATAAAACTCAGCCAGAGAATATGGATGTACTCAAACTGATATATTTCTCGAAAAGTAGACAAATAAATGGAAAAACGTTTCAAAAAATGTTTCAAGAAGCATCAAATATTGAAGCATATTTTCGAATAATTGCTTCAAATACCTCTGTCAAAGATCACTCGCTCTCTCTAACTTTTGTTGATCACCAACATGAATCATTGAAATAAATTATTATTCATCTGGTCGGATTGGTTTTTGTTTCCGCCTCAATTTGATGTATCTCAAGTTGCCATTTGGAATTTTATAAAGTAGAGGTGGCGGGGGTTTGAAGGGATGATCATAGCATTCAATAGATACTAGTATTTTATTTCCTCCTCAATATCTGAATCAACCTATTTTTTTCCATAATTGTTATCATCGCACATCATAAGGCTAAGTGGTAAGTTTTGAAATCAAAGCTATGTACTACGAATCGAGGAAATCGCCTATTTTGTAATATTCTCAGCTGAAACTGAATTTCAAAATTTTCTCTTTCAATGAGGAATTGGTGAAATAATCAACAATATTTCAATTTGTGCTAACTTAATCCACATCATAACATTTTTAACAATCAGGCATTTGATGAAATGTTGCCGCATATCATCGAGTTCAACCCGTTTCTATAAAGAGCACCGTACCATGTTCTTGACCTCACACAATATACCTCTCAATTCACAAGTTCTTGCGCTACTGCTGCTGCTGTTTTATATTCCACTTCAGCTGTGCTCAAAGCAACATAGTATCTAATGCTTTTCAAAGAACCAAGATACTGATTTTTTTTTACGGCTATAACACAAAATTGCTCTCGTTTTACTATGTTTGATATCACAATGACTTCATTTTGTTATTATTTCACAAATTCTCATCTCTCATAAAATATAAAATTTCAAGCAATGACATCAACTCTGTCTAATAGATCAGCATCACTAAAGAGTGAGCAATGAGCCGCACAAAATAACAAATTCAGCGCTCTCGCTCTAGACTTCCCATTTCGAAACTATTCAATATTTTCAGAATTTTTTCGATTCATGCTCTAGCCAAAGGACCAAGCTAGGTTGAATACTATCTCATTTTTCGAAATTTTTAAAGAAAGAGTGGACAAAACGTTCTCGAAAAGTGCTCAAAATTAGTCAATTTGGCAAATAAAAAAAAATACGTGTACATGAAATAACCAATTTCCAAATAGTATCCAACCTAGATCTATCTGTCAACAAACCACACAAAAAAAGCAGCTCGAAATAACGATCGATGTCTATACACGACGTCAAGAGCCGTTGCTCTACATTCTCACAAATACGCACGATTTGGTCGATGATATTTGCGCCTACGTAAATCACCCTGTATAATATAACAGAAAAGTTAACTTTAACTGACGATATAGTTGAAATTCAAGAAAATAATGACTAAAGCCTACTCATAGTATCTGATGAGTCATTTCGTTTGCTTCTTGGTTTTTCAAGATCGGATTTTCAAAAGCAGCGCTATGGCTTGAGGCTTTTAAAATCCTAATTTTTCCACACCTCTCGACCAATGAAGAGTGTTGTAAATCTTCATAACAAATGTAAACGTAATGGATATAACCAAGGATATAACACAATCAAGGTGTTATCAAGTTAGATTCTATGACCGGATTACCCGATGAATATAGGTAGAATACATTTCGCTAGGAATCTGCTAGGCAGATTATTGGCGATATAAATAAATATTCGGACGCGGTAATCACCCCGACTAATTGACGAACCGGGTGAGTTGTCCTTTTCTAAAAAGGATGCTTGTTGATTTATGACTGTTTTGTAACCGCCCACTGCTATCTCTTCCTAACCCCCCCGGACCTCAGGTATAGGCGAGAATTGTCGCGTTTCTCAACCTTAATCTCTGTGTAACTGGTACTCGGTTAAGTAGAGCAGTTTTCAACTATACTTCGCCGAGGATAATTAAAATGAAGACATTTTATTATTATTATTATTATTATTATTGTAGTTGAAATTTTCAGTTCTTCTCAAAAAAAGGAGTACCCGACATATTAACACCTAACGAACTGTTCACGACCATAACTGGCTATGATTTCCAAGACAAACTTGCCCTTTTGGACCTACAAGAAAGCTTCAAGCTCAAACCCCATATGGTCGACAGATTGGGAGTGGAGTTGTCTGACAACTTTGAGAAGGCCTGGGATCTGTCCAATTCGAAAGTGGAGAAGATGGTGCCTGAAGTGGATTCAAATTTGGTTGAACCAGCAAAAGCCTAATAGTAATGCCTACTTTTGCACATAACTTTTCAGTTTTTCCTGTTTTTTCCAATATATTTCTATATTATTTTTGAAATTTGTTATAAATAAGGTACCACATATGCAGTATTTGTTGAATGTGTTTTATTTGCTTGTTTAAAATATAATGTATCGTTTTTACTGATTCCTTTTTGTATGTATATATATTCATATATGCCAACAAATACTCGTTATTTGGTATTTCACAAATACTACATGTGTGTAACCGGCTTGATATGTGATTTATGTTAAGAAAAAATGGACGTTGGTTTTTTACGTTATATAGGTATATCAAAGACAATATATTTTCTGCAAGGGCGTTTGCAAAACAAATTGAGTTATGAACTAATTTTACTTCTAATGTCAGCAAACCACAATCTATAAAAAAAATCTAGTTATAGTCCGACTTCTCAGAGAAGACCAGTAATATTGGGAAAGCGCTGAAACTTCAATGGTCAATGAAAGTGCAGTCAGTTCGTTTTTCACTTCTCGGCATGACATTATTGGTAATACCTACTTGAATTGTCTAAATAGTTTTAGTCTCGTTTCATATAGACATTATTAATTTGCTAGAGGCATTGCAATCAGAGCACTTAGTTCAGTCACCAACACAGCAGATATATTTTCACCTTACAATGCGACATAGATTTGAAATTTTGTAGCCTAGACTGGACATGGTTCCATCACAAGTTCAAGTTTACATCGACCCATGTTCAAGTTCACGAATTACAAGATGTATTCAATGAGGGCCCACATTAGTCACATAAAACTTGAGATCAATGTCAAAAGTAAAAAATCCCAATTTTTTTCCGGATCGCCCTAAAGGCTGTGCATAAAAGCATTGCATACCCCAGAAAAGTTCAAATTATCGATACACGTTTTTTACACAATTTTCTTTTGCGGATATATACAGGGTGGGCCACCAGTAACGCCTCGGTCTCTAGAAGGCTAACCACTTTATCTTCTTGGAATTCTTCCTCTCTAGGAAGTTGCATGTCAACATAGGCTACCATTTGAAATTATTTTGAAACATACAGGATGTCCCCAAAAATCACAAAACACTGAAGTTGAACTTTTTTCAATCGAACACCCTATATATTATTTCATTTTGAGATTCTCCCTGGTGAGCTGATTTCAACAATCCATCATACTTGGGGTCTAGCAGTTATAATTACTGAGATATAGGGTGTGAGAAATCGAGATTTTGCAAGTTCAATAATTTTTTGTGTCTAAACCATTCATAATTGGTCAAAACGGCTCACATGTCCCTATCTCAACTTTTGATCAACTATCTACTAACATTTAATTGAAACAAATACAGGGTGGTGCAGAATTCAGAATCTTGATCACCCGGTATATGTCCCAATTATATATCAGTAGATAGTTAATCAAAAGTTGAGATAGGGACATGTAAGCCGTTTTGACCAATTATGAATAGTTTCGACACAAAAAATTCTTGAACTTGGAAAATCTCGATTTTTCACACCCTATATTTCAGTAATTATAACTGCTAGACCCCAAGTATGATGGGTCGATGAAATCAGCTCATCAGGGAGAATCTCAAAATGAAATAATATATAGGGTGTCCGATAGAAAAAAGTTTAACTTCAGTGTTTTATGGTTTTTGGGGACACCCTGTATGTTTCGAAATAATTTTAAATGGTAGCCTATGTTGACATGCAACTTCCTAGAGAGGAAGAATTCCAAGAAGATAAGTGGTTAGCCTTCTAGAGACCGAGGCGTTACTGGTGGCCCACCCTGTATATATATTGATAAAAATAGATCTACTATATGTCTGCGTACTCTGACAACTCATAATAATACAATACAATCCCTAAAAACTAATATAAACCACCCGCTGCGCCGCCGCTATTGGCGCTCTACTCTATGTAAGCAAATAAGCATCCCATTCAAAATAAAAGCAAAGCAATTGCGCTGATCAATATAGATTCATATGGAGCGAAAAAGCATTGCTTTTGACCTTCAAGCCATCTACACTCGAGCCGTGGCGACGCAGTGAGGGGCCGATTTCCACCGGCCGGAGACCCGAGCGATTACGAACAATAATAAGAGGGCATAAGGAAGACGGTCAGGGACCAACAGTGTTGCTAGGTGTATCAATTTATCGCATTTACGGCTACTTTCTTTGGTGAAATGTGACATCATATTGAAGTTGGCGAAATTCTGAAATTTACAGGGGTTTTAACAGCGACATGTGATAATGCGACAATCATTGATAACATTCACTAGACTGTTTTACCACTAACCAATCCGATTTTCTAAACTCATCGACATGTGTTTCGCTAACTATGTAAGCATCTTCAGAAGAAGATTAAAACTAAATATCCTATTCTAGTGTTCTGCTTATATACTAGGTATACTACAACCGTGAAAAATACTAACCGTCAAGTTAATGTTTGTCCTGGTTAAGTTCACATGTAAATCTTAACTTTTATATTACTAAACTATACAGGGTCGCTGATATGTATGGAAACAGGTGAATATCAGTTATTCCGGATTTTTAGTAATTTCCTTATTTTGAATGAAACACCCTGTACTTTATTGGATTTCCAGATTCTCCTTGAAGAGCTGATTCCATCGATCTATCACACTTGGGGTCGAGCGGGAATGATTACATAGGTATAGGGTGTTTAAAATCTAGGTTTTTTGTGTAGAAACTATCCATTATCGATCAAAACCGCTTCAATGTTCCTATCTTCACTTTTGATTTACCATCTACTGACTATTTAATTGGAACAGATACAGAGGGTGATCAGAATTCTGAATCTTGAACCACCCTGTATTTGTTTCAATTAAAGGATTTTTTTACTACTGAAAATAATAAACAATTACTATGCAAACTTCTATTTTGGGTGAAATATCTCGAAAACTGTTCATTATAGCTCAGTTGTCGGTTATGCATTTTTTCAACAGAATTGCACAATGAATTTGAGTAATTCAAAATAATCGAAATCTCATCAGTGGCGTAGAAAATATAGGAGAAAAAGTTATCACAACTCCCTGTAGCGCGCCACGGGATAAAATGTCCGAAGTGACTTTCTGGTCGTGAAATGGTCCATCCAAAGATGTAACCATACACCGGATATGAATGCAAAGTATTCAATTATTCTTGAGTTATTGCGAAAAAAACATTTTTATTTCTCAACTTCAACACCCTGTATCTCGAGAACTGAACACTTGGAGACCCTATTTTCCTATGTCAGTGATTATGAAATCACGAGATCTATCACCTGTTGAGCGTTATCGGCCGAATTTCGAAATACCCTGTGCATATATACCCTGTTGTTGGATTATGTGCTAGTTGCAAAAAATAGGCACACAACACCGTCTACGAGAAAGAACTGCAATTCCTTTTATCTTCCATTCCACTTCGCGGTTCCTTGAATTACTAAACAAGCACTAAATTCGCATTTTTTTTAATCAAATCACAGAATTAGACTGACAGATATTTGATAACTTCAAAAGAATGATGAAGAAGTCTACAAAAAGATGCCTGCGCGCAAAGCAGGTGTAATTCCTCTTAAAAATATCAAATTTCACGTCGATAATTTTCTGATTTTAATACAGGGTGATTCACATAACAACCGACATAGAGCAGGGGCATGTAGGGGGTCCCAAAATATGGCAATTTAACCTCTATACCAAGTTGCTTCCCTAAGGAGCTATAGGCTTTGAAAGTGAAGTTATAAATTTTGAAAAAAATCAATATCTCCGTTATTCTTGAACTTGAAGCAACCAAATTTGGTACACTTTGTGGATGTATTTAGGGCCTTACTTGACAGTAACTAGAGTTTAATTGAAATTTGTAAAGGGGGTATACCGCAGTTATGAATGTTAAGATCAGGTTCATTCTCATTTAGGAAATTTCCTGATAATTGCCATCACCATGCTGGTTGAACAGCCGACTGAGTCTTTATTACAGTAAAATGTTTCTAAATTTTGGTTCGGGGAAACAACATACGAAACGACACCAAATCGTAAGCTCATTTTTGTTCACCCTACCTACATAGTAATTATCCTGAAATTCTCTTTTGCACGAATAACAAGATAACTTTCATAAAAAATACATATATTTCGACAAAATTTGAAGCTACAAAATAATTTCAAATATATACACAAATAACATTATCGGACAGAAATATAAATTTTTGTGGAATGTTAATAGAAAAATGCGAAATCTGTGAAAGTTATTTCAACATAGATAAGCCATTCTATTGAATATGTAGTATTTACTCACTGTAGAGTGCCTCAAACATACTGACATTTTCGAATTGTCGTCATTATCAGATTTAAAACGTCACTTCTGGAAATTGAATAGGCGTCTCCGCGAAAATGTTTTCGAATACTTCTTGTTCGGTAACGGATTGCAAATTTTTTTAAAGAATTATGGTTACCATTTGAGTTATCCAAAGAGGAGAAGACATTTCAAGTGTTCTTCAAAGTTTCAAATTCCAATATTCATTTCATGGAATAATATTGATATAACTACAAATTGAGCTTAATGCTCCTTTGGTGTTAGGCCACTGTCAGGGTTTCAAATAATAATAGAGAGTTGAAGTAATCACTGTACATACGTAGACCTCTACGTGGACGTTAACGTAAGAAAAATAACGTATTGTCGTTAAATTGAGCTGAAGTCGTCACTTTGGTCGTCACTGTCATCGTAACGTAATAATACAATTTGTTTTCGGTTTGTTTTGGTCATTTTTGGTTGTGTGATTAGATCCGAACATTTATTCCTGTTAAAATGAGAGTACTCCTTGATGCAGATCTTCTTGGGGATGCAGATCTTCTTGGGGATCCCGAACTCAATAATTTTGACGTTCGGTAACCGTATGTTGATATTTAAGGTATACGTGAAAGTACGTGAGATAATGTACACCCGTAAGCCCACTACCAACGCAAACGTGAAGAATTGGTGAATGCGCATGCGTAGCTGTAAATTTCTACGTTTACGTTAACGTTCATGGCAACACTTCAACTCTCTAGTATGTCTGCACTCGTTCAATGAAAGATTACCTAAGATATCTTGTTAAGTGTGCCCACACTCTACAAAGGTCGTGATATGAGATGTTCGAGGCACTCTAACTCAGTGGAAATATTGTTAATGTGAATAAAAATTAAGCAGAAATGAACAGTGCCAAACACAGCAAGTTCTTTAGAAATATATTCTTCAAATTTATCACACCTTTCAAAATAAACACCCTGTAAATGATATAAATGCAACAAGCTTGTTATCTATCATGAACTTGTTTCAGTAAGATGAATAATCAACATGAAGATCCTAATGAATAGAAAAGAAACTGAAATTAACTACCTTCTAATGGACCAAAAACTAAATTTATTGTGCCAAACATACAACTTGACTATCTACTTAAGTTTGCTACATATGGGAAACTTTTTTATTATTAATTTTACGAATAAAAAATCTTTATAAAGAGGGTTGCATGGTCTAAAACCGAAAATGCAATTTTTCCAATTATATACGAGGTATGTAAAACAACATTAATTGTGCTCAAGAGTAAAATACCTTTATTTTCGACAATATCGAAAATTGTTATTGGAAAAAGTTTACTCGAATTAATAACTACGTTCTAATTAATATTAATATCTAATTACATCTGTCTACAAAGAAATTTAGGTTTTATTACTGTTAACAATTTATTTAAAAATTTTTGACACAACTGAAAACATTTTAAATCTGATATTTGTATTTTCGGTTTTAGGCATTGTAGAACATTTCATGAAGTATGACTTATGACCGAAAAACTGATAAAAAAAAGTTCACCATAAAAATCGATCAGAAATGGTAAGCAATAGTAAAACCTAATTTTCATCATGTATTTAGATTTTTGAACGTATTCAATCCTAGTGAACTTTTTTTTTAAATTTTCGATATTGTCAAAAATTGAGGCACTTTACATTTTAGCAAAATAAATATATTTTGACATACCTCATATACGACTGAAAAAATTTGATATTAGATATTTGCATTTTCGGTTTTAAGCCATGTTTAACTCTTTATGAAGAATAACTTTTTCGTAAAATCAATAATAAAAAAATTTCCCACGTGACCAACTTGAGTAGCTGTACAATATTAAAAAAACCAACAGTGCCAGAAAACCGATCAAGATCAAAATCTCGACATTTTTTCGATTTATTAAAGTTGAAAGACTGATTTTATTATAGGGTGGCAATTGCATCTTTGAACAATATCAATATATCAGATGTTCATGATTTGAAGTTGACTAAAGTTTGTCAACTGCGGTTTTATTGATTTCATTTTTTGTGATGATTGTTCAAATATTTTTAATCTGAATTTGATAATAAGTATTGGATTTCGAACAAATATGTTGATTCCTACCCTGTTTATCAAAATAGCAGCGATAATCTCACCCACATTTTCTGAAGTTTTTTAATAGGTGATATCAACAGAATAATTTTCCTGAAAAATTATTTTCAACATGTCCATATGGTGAAAACTTTCTGACCGTCACTGTATTCAATTCAATACTGGATATAACATGAATTCTATATTTGACATTTATGACAATGCTTCAACAATGTTTTATTAATAAATATCCAATTCATGGCAACACTTCATTTCCAAAATAAAAATCAAGACTTCGGAGATCTATAATGGAAGTTGATGAACAATTCACCATAAGTAATGGCTATTGGTTGTATTTTTGTGCGTTCTTTGGCTGGCAACAATTTGTCATTATTGTGGATGATACCGGGAAATCCAAATGCTTCTGCACTTTTTCGGGAATATTATTTCATCAATTCTATAAGTTGAACAACTGCAATATTGTAAATAATATAAATAGGTTATAGGTTATGAGTTAACAATACAAAGTAAAAATATTTTTGGTATTAATTCGAATTTCCTCATAATGACAATCAACAGTGATGACATTAATGCTAATGACAAATTCAGATTGTTGCCAACCTGAGAACTCTCGAGCAGAACAAAAGCAATCCATAGCTAATCCATATGGTCAATTGTTCAAATGGTTTTCACATACACATTTCAGATGACATAACATAATTAATACTAGTAAGTGTAGATACCTACCTTGGAAAGATATTGAAATAATTTTGTCAAGAAACAAATAATAAGGTTCATCAGAAATGACGAATTTCATCGAATATGATAAGTAGGTACTTCAATGTCATTTATATAAAAGATTTTTCACAGATAAACACATAGTTGCTTTGGCTGTGAGTTCTGAGTAGTATTAGACATTAATTTTTTACTGACAATTCAATAAGGATATTTATCACAAGACTGCACAAGCAAAAAGAATAATATACGAATAATTTTAATATATAAATGAACATACGCTTGACACACTATTTTTACTTGAAGATTATGTTACTTAGTACTTAGAACAACATTGAATAATGAATTGTTGTATGTACGATTCAAATAAGGTAAAGCAAAATGAGTTTGATTGATCCAATGAACAAAAAAATTCCATGGAGGTAACGAGACTGATGTGAATAAGTAGAACTGCCAATCTCTCCAAAAGGACTATTCTAGAAGTTTGGTTATCATACACAAAAATAATAAATATAGGAAACCAGTTAATCTATTTACCCCACTCCAACTAGTCGAACTCATTATGGTGATGACACCTTTCTATTTATCTTAACATTCTGATGATATGTCAGTGATTCAGCTCAACTCACCTCAACCATTTCAGAAGATTATATCAGAGTCTGCAATCAAAATATTGAAAAAAACAACATAAAAGCTGCAGTTGTCAAATCAATTCTTAATTCAAAAATTTAGGTATGATATAACTGGTGATTTTTTTTCAACATCTAGCGCCGATCGCATGAAGCAGTCGACAAATGATGAAATATTCGTATTAAATTTGTTTATATCCATGGCAATGTAGCTGATGAGTTAAAAGAGGTGATTCCTCGTTAAGTTAACCAGCCCCTAGATAATTAGAAATATTTCAAGAACTGATTATAAAAATATATTTGCTCAAACGACACAATTCATGGACACAAAAAAAGAAATGTAGACTAGTTATGAGAAATATTTGAGGATAACATAACCGAAAACAACCTCTAAGCAGACATTTATACCTTTACCTAAATACTTTGGTTGAATATTAACTACTTAATGAATATTCTATCAATACCACACAGGGTTTAGTTAAAATAATTAATATAACTGAACCCTGTGCATCTCGGACGATAAACGCACGCACACACTTGGAGAGAATATCACAATACATTTGTGTCATTACCATGACATATTCACTAAAATATTTTTTAGAATTAGTTGAATGAAATTGTGGTTAGGTGTATGCAGGCACTATAGCATCATAGCTAATCTGCGATGTGGATGGCAGCAAAGGTGACACCACCGTTGGCTCTGTTGGTCCCTCCAGATGTGGTTGACTTTGGATTCTCCGTCTTCTGGGCATCACGCCTAAGAAATCATTACTCATTCAAGAATTGTCGAATTTCCCATGTTTATAAAGTTACTTGCTATGAAAAGCTGTATGTTAAGATAAGTTAGGAAGACAAATATTCGTCGATACTGGAATGACTTTTTTCTATTTCTACGAGCTCAGGATTAGTAGGATATACAGGGTGTCTATAAATATCTAAATGTCATACCACAAATTCTTTCGGCTGAAATAAGACGACTGAATCAAACCAAACACTATACCAAAATACTCCCGTTTAGCTGCTATAAGTAGAAGATCCGAACCTAAGTCGACCTTCACCGAGCTGATAATAGAACGAAATATATTTTATCATGAATTTAGTATATTAGAAAACATATTAAAAATGGGTTGCCTAAAAAAATCCTGGGCAGACTATTTTTAATTATTTTTCGAAAAATTATTTTTAATTAAATGTTGCAACATCAGGATAATAAAAAAATTGTGTCCTGACTGAAAGTATGAAACGTATAGAATGTGCAGCCGTTGGGGTGTCTACTATTTACCTGGGCGAACTACTGGGTTGTCAGGTAAACACAGGTATATCGATGCCAGTTACTTTCACTGGATTGGATAATTTAAAAAAATGTATATCATCATAAGCGCTGTTTAATTGCGAACACGTTGATATAGGGTTGTCTGCGAAAATTCCGGTCCGATTAGGGGTTTTTAATTTCAACGCGCGTGGAAGTGTGTGACAGAGAGATCCGAGGTAAGTATACTGTGTGATAATAAAGGACCCAACATCGCAGTCGCTTGTGATGGGACCCTGAATAGTAGAAAGTGTGCGAAGTCAAATCCTGAAAACTATGGTTGGCATTTTGATGATTTCTTAAAACCAACAGGTTTTATCGGAGATCAAACTCCTTTGAAAATCCAGGACATTGTCGAAATGGAAGCAAATGAGGAAGAATCTAATGAATCAGACGAATTCGAGAGTCAAAATGATACTTCTGATGAATCAGATATTGAATAGAAAATATTTATTAGAATTTATTTTTCATTAATATTATTTTTGTATTTATACTGTTTTTTAATAAAATTTCAAATCGTAATACAAGATGTCTAGTCTATCTTTTTTGTTATTTCTTAATTTAAATTTTTGGCGGTCCACTTTGTTTCTATTTCCAGAAAGAGCAAAAAAATTTCAAAGTAAGTATTTGATATTTTTATTGTCTATTATAGATTATAGATATATCATTATGGTTATAACGCAATATACTGATATTATATTGTTTTTATATATTAGTATTATATTAAATATATTTAATTATTATGTAATTAATTATTTTTTTTGCTACTGAAATATCAGTTGCTCCAAAATAACACGCACTGTTTACTATATGAAGGGTAGTAGAGGTACCTCTACCCTCCATAGTTTACACACCGAGCATGCGCACTTTCTACTATTCAGGGTCCCATCACAAGCGACTGCGATGTTGGGTCCTTTATTATCACACAGTATACTTACCTCGGATCTCTCTGTCACACACTTCCACGCGCGTTGAAATTAAAAACCCCTAATCGGACCGGAATTTTCGCAGACAACCCTATATCAACGTGTTCGCAATTAAACAGCGCTTATGATGATATACATTTTTTCAAATTATCCAATCCAGTGAAAGTAACTGGCATCGATATACCTGTGTTTACCTGACAACCCAGTAGTTCGCCCAGGTAAATAGTAGACACCCCAACGGCTGCACATTCTATACGTTTCATACTTTCAGTCAGGACACAATTTTTTTATTATCCTGATGTTGCAACATTTAATTAAAAATAATTTTTCGAAAAATAATTAAAAATAGTCTGCCCAGGATTTTTTTAGGCAACCCATTTTTAATATGTTTTCTAATATACTAAATTCATGATAAAATATATTTCGTTCTATTATCAGCTCGGTGAAGGTCGACTTAGGTTCGGATCTTAGACTATATAGGGCTGCAATTTTCAGTCACCCTTTAATGATAAACTGTTTCTACTATCTTTTCTGTTAGCATATTTTCACTATTTTGAATACAAAGAATTGAATAAATTCGAAATTCTTCCCAAACGACTAAAAAACTCTTCCACATGCTCGATGAGTACGGCACACATGATTAGTTGAATATTTTCGTGGCATACTCATTGAGATAAAAAAAAGTGTTTCTGTTCTGATTTCTGGTTTCAAAAATATCGACACTGTGTGTAGAAAAAATGCTGCCTAGAAGCCCTAATATAGGACCCCCTGGAGATGATATTCTTTAAATATTTCAGAAACGCTTGCATGAGATGATTTATTATGCAGGTGATTAACTTTCGATGCCCAATAAACAAAACAAGATATAATTTCCTTCAGGTGCTTTTGAAATAAGGAGGGAAATGGTAAAAAACGCAACACACAAAAAAGTACTTTTAACCCAGCGGTGAGAGATTTGAAAACTTACTTTACCGCATCAGAATAAGCTGAGCGTTGATAATTTTTTTCTTCCAATTCCAAAAAGCGTGATGAATCGTCACATGCTACAATAGTGAAGGAACTAGGTTAGTAGCGGCTTTACCTTCAACATTTTCAGGAAGAAACTGAAGGGGAATCAGGTTCAAGACTAATACACTTTTTTAGAGTTTTCTACCCAGTTATTCATCACTAGTGAATGGGAATACGAGATATCATAATGAAAAGATTTATTCAAGTCACCATCACTTCTATCTTGTGCATTTTCTGATATCTTCCTTTGAATCTTCATTTTATTTCATTCATTAAATTTGCTCACTTTACTTCAGTTGCTTTCAATTTCTCTTCCGCTTCTTCGTCATCAAGCTTCTGCTATTATTTGAGAATCATAAGTTCTAAATTCAAGTGTGAAATAACAAATTACTTTGACAGTATTTCAGACTCTTTTTTGTTGCTCGTTTTAGTTATCGTCAACTAAGATCAACTCAGACTTTGTATTTCCCTCTTACCTTGCTGTTATATAGTATTTGCACATGTTGTCTTGAGAGATACAAAAAAAATTCATGTATCAAAATTGAAGTAATAACCGAGCTTCACATTTCAGAATTTCTTTGAAATACACAGGGTGTTCCGTAAGGTCACAGCACATCAAAGCTATGTTCTTTTCATCAGAACACCCTATATTTTATTTCATTTTTGAATTCTCCCTGAAGATCTGATTTCAACGACGTATCATAATTAGGGTCTAGCAGTGAAAGTTACTGACATATAGGGTGTGCAAAATCGAGATTTTCCAAGTTCAGGATTTTTTTTTTGTCGAAACTGTTCATTATTCGTCTAAACGGTTTACATGTCCCTATCTCAACTTTCCACTCACTATCAATTGGTGTTCAATTGAAATTGATACAAGGTGGTCAAAAAATCTGAAATTATAATTTGTTTCAATTGAATGTCAATTGAACACCAATTGATAGTGAGTGAAAAGTTGAGATAGGGACATGTAAACCGTTTTGACGAATAATGAACAGTTTCGACAGAAAAAAATCCTGAACTTGGAAAATCTCGATTTTGCACACCCTATATGTCAGTAACATTCAGTGCTAGACCCTAAGTATGATACGTCGTTGAAATCAGATCGTCGGGGAGAATTCAATAATTAAATAAAATATAGGGTGTTCCGATGAAAAAAACATAGCTTTGATGTGCTTTGACCGTACGGAACACCCTGTGTATTTCAAAGAAATTTTGAAATGTGAAGCTCGGTTATTACTTCAATTTTGATACATGAATTTTTTTTGTATCTCTCAAGACAACAGAGGTATCGAACTCTGGATTCTTAGTTGGCCACCCTGTACTCTTGGAAGGAAAATTAAATCTGAATTCTGGACTATGCGTTTCTGCTAATCTTCTTGGGAAGACTCCTAAATTGCACATAATTCTCCTATGTGGATTAACACGCTGAAAGTCACTTTCACTAGGCTGGTTTTGCTCCATAGTGCATTCTCGAAAAACTGGAAGGACTAATGTGAGAGATTTATCAACGCTCAGCTTCTGATGTGGAAGAGTAGGTTTTCAACTGATTTTTATATAATTTGAAATACTGACACACGTTCGTGACAAATATATTGCAACTGAACAAAATTATAATAAAACACTCCGTATCCGTGTGTCTAACAATGTAACTACTTGTTATTATCACATTGTATATGAGTAGGTATCTTTTCTTCACCAGCCTTACTTCCTGAAATAATGTGTTCTCTGTTGTATAAGGAATAATAAGCATCTGTACGAATCCCAACTTTTTATCAAAAAGTGATTCAAAAATATTCGGGAAATACCATCTTCAAGAAGGATACTCCTTTGGATACCAAATGTTTGAATTGATTATTTCTCTATATTTGTTAATAGAAGCTGCTGTTGCAATATTGCACCCTTTTTCGCCAAGACACTGTTTCATCCCATTGACTCGTCACCGTATATTAATATTTTGAAATGGGTTTTATTCCAATGGATTTTGATCGCATAAACATGTACCTATTCAATGAATATTGAAATGAATATTGCATGTAGGTTAATCGAGGAGGTAGTATATACATTATTCTAGATTTTTTGGGATTTTCTCTCTTTTCTATAAAATGAAAATATGAGTATTATTTCAATATACATGTAGTGAGGACAAACAAGATGGTTTGCCCCAAAATGTCACTGCATTTAAAAATGTTCCTATCAGAGAGCATAATAGAAAAATCATTCGCTTGTCAGTGACACTTTATTTGAAAAATGTTTGGAGAAGAGAAATAAATAAAGGAAAAATATAAAATTTTCACTCATCTTTGGACGTTTCGGGAACGCATCTGCTCCCGTTTTCAACATTGCTTCCTATTCAGTGGATATAGATAAAACATGGAATTCACAATGAAAATGGTATATTCAATGTCAATTAATGGAAACATCATGTAACTCATTTGTTTGCCTACGTCACCATATGTCACTGAGAAGTGTGTGTGTGTGTGTGTGTGTGTGAAAACTGATACCTGACGAATTTGCGAGAAAAATATTTTCCATTTTCATGTTGAAAACAGGAGCAGGTTCGTTGCCGAAACGTCCAAAGATAAG